GCTGGTCAAGCAAGTCTCACAAGATCCCACCTCCTTGGGCTCCCCCTTTATCCTCAGCCCCTTGACTCTTTCCTCCTTAAACAGCTGCTGCAACTGAGGTAGCGCCACGTGGCCAAAGCGACGGTGTGCGGTGAGCCAATCCGTCTCACCCGTGCTAGGAGTTACACTTGGAAGCGCAGCCCCTCCATGCCCAAGGAGCCCACCATCACTGTCATCACCACCCCCTCCATTGTCCACGTGGTTAACACGCCCTCCTCTCACATCTCCAGCAGCCAAGCGCGCAGCCGCCTCCTTCCATGGCAGCACCGGTATCTCCCACATAGACCGGTGCATGTCCTTGCCGCCTCGGAGGTCCCACAATACGCGCCCATCCAGAGTTGCCTTGAAAACCTTTGTGCCCAACATCTCCATCTTCATCCCTGCCTCACTTAGGGCCTTGGTAGAGAGGAGGTTGGCACACAATCCAGGAACAAGGAGAACACGCTTCAGCCCCACAAGCCTCCCATCCGCACCCATGAACATGGCTCTCCCCTCGCCACGCACGGGTACAACTTGGCCGGTGGCTGAAACGACGGTGGCTGCCTTTGATGGCCTAACTTCATCCAGTAGATCCTCTCGGTTGGTCATGGTCATGAAGGCTCCCGTGTCGATGACCCAATGGGAGGAGCGGTGAAGAGCAATCTTGCTGGCCGGCACAACCATGTCCTCGGGGCACGCCTCCCCTACATGGTAGAACATGCCGCCGTATCCGCCAGCACCTCCTTCGCCATCCTCACTGCCCATGCCTTCTCCCATAGCTCCATGAACACCCTTGGAGCCCTCAATTGATGGCTGACCAGGCCTCCAACCGTCAGGTAGCTTGCGGCACTTGAACCATGGGTGCCCTTCCACATGGCAATACCAACACTTGCCGCCACACCGCTTGCCTCCCTTGTTGCCACGCTTCCCTCCCGAATGCTGCTCCCCTCCAGAGCCTTCCTTGGCCTTCCCTTTCTTGCTGCCACGCCCCTTGAAGCCCTTCATGCCATAGGCAGAGCCTCCACCTTCACCGGCAGCGGCGGTCAGCTCCTTCCTCCGAAACTCCTCTTGAAGAACTTGTGCGCGAATCCACTCAAGGGACCACGAGTCCTTCATCCCATTAAGGTTGACCACCAAGGGCCCCCACGACTCCGGCAGCAGGGAGAGAGCCTTGTAGCACTTGATTTTCTCAGGGTAGTCCACACCAGCAGCTGAGAGCTTCACATAGAGGTCCCGGAGTTGATCGAACGCTCCTTGTACGGCATCACCCTCGTTGATCTTCACCGCATGGAGTTGTCGCTCGAGCACCACCACCATTGCTTCGCTGCTGGGGGCATGGACATCCTTCAATATCCTCCATGCCTTAGGACCACACTCAGCTTCCTTGATGAGATGCTTGATGTGGTGCAGCTGGTTGGATGAGAGGCATTGGGAGAGAAGGAAGAATCCATCCTTGGACCGGCGATCCCATTCTTTGGTCGCTCCTTCGCTCGTAGGCCTCTTGAATTCTCCATCCATCACTTCAAGCAGCCCATAATGGTTGAAGAGGAGCTCCATCCTGAAGCTCCATGATGCCCAATCATCCCCAGAGAACTTCTCCAGGTTGAATGCCTTCACATCATCCTTAGCTGATGTTGAAACTGAAGCCATTGGCGCAGATCCGCCTGCAACGCCTCTTCCCGCTTCCCCAGCGCCTCTCACGCCACCACTGCCACTGGGACCAGCTGGAGCAGAACCTTCAGCCTCCATTTTCACCCACGAACAGAGTAGAACAGCTCTGATACCACTTGTTATAGTCTGCAGTCCACTTAGGGGTCGCGGATGCCCATGAAACCGCCTAGGCAGAATCTGACGTCTTCAAACCGCCTCTGTTCAAAACGCCGTCACGATCAGCTCCGAGAACATACGAGGCTGAAACTTGGACAGCGGTTAGCCTTAGGTGTCTGCTTTCCAACGGTATATTACTTGCTATTATCAGAGGTGTGTGCACTACGCAGTGAACGAAAACGTAAGCTCGGCTGAAAAAACGTGTATTCTCATTGATGCAAGGAAGAGGTGAGTACAACATTGCCTAGGGGACTCATAAGGGGTTGGGTCATCCTGGGAACTCAGAGAAGGTTGAGTCCTAGGGGAGAAAGGCTAGAGAAGAATGGGAAACTTCCTAGCTAGGTCAGCAAAGCCAACCACACTTGGATGTTCAGAGCTGTACTCAAGGCTACCAATAGTGAGTCAAGCCAACATGAGTCAGCTTGTCTTCCCACTTGCACCCTCTTGCAAGTTGCTTCCAGGAAGACCACACTTCTCAAAAGGAGGGTTATAGAGTCCCACTTGACCACCTGTACTTCTTGTCTCATTCTCTGTCCCTGCACCATTGGCATGACAACAATGAAAGGGTGGCAAGGGAAATGCTGCCAACAGTGCACCATGACTACGGAACAGTGAATTTCGGCAGCTGTCACGCAATGCTCAGATGTTGGATCGTTCTGAAACTTGGTGACCACTTGCACAGCGGGGCAAAGGACTGCCAGACCGAATTTCAGACCAATCAGATCTCGGTAGACGAGTCAGCAGCCGAAATGGTGAACTCGGGTGTTACCAAAAAGGAGTAACACACACTTCCGGGATGCCATAAGTCTTGAAACATAAAATGTTGTCATGCCTTGGTAACTGCTTCAAAAACTCTGAAACTTTGAGGGTTTGAAGAAAACGTGTTGAACAACCTCCCCACAAAATTCCAGAAGCTGAGCAGGCTTGTAGGCCGAATGGGAGTGCGATGACCGTGCCACTGTAATGTGTTGGCACAACACCTGTGACATCCGCGACAGTACTTGCGACGAGGTGAACACTCCAAATATTGGAATCAAACATTTTAAATCGTGAAACGTCAAATCGCAAACACAAACACATCACACAAACTGAATGGTCAAGTGAACAAAAGGTTCCACGACACGGGGGATGTGCCCCTATCATTTACGTTTACCTGTCTGTTACCTATGTTGGGTTAATATTTTTTAACACGGGCTTCCAACTTTATGTACCTCTTATAGAACAGCAGGCATAAAAAATGTCACAATACCCAAGCACACGTGAGTGTGAGTTAATGTAACACAGTTCATGGTTCATTCCCTTCTTCAAATTTCAACCCAACCATGCGGCACGTAAAGTTACTACATACTCGATGTCAAACAGTAGATTGTGTGCGTGAAGACATCCCAAGTCTACCATACCAGTTATGCATAATAGAATGAACACACAATAAAGTGGATGGGGTACAAATGTGCAATCCATAAGAAACGCAGCAAAGCTCAGTGTGGATTTCACGATCACCAAGTAGTCCGGGCACAAACATGGGGCCTTAGTTGTACATTCGTTCCGATATGGGCGCAAGTACTTACTTCTTTTTTTATGTAGACGAAACTTGTATACACATCCAAAGGCATTTACACAAACAATGCATAAGGTTTAAATAAAAAATAATCATGGCTAGCCTAGGTCGATTCGTATTCCGTTGTACTCTAATTCATATTTATGTATTTCCATGTATTTATTTATCTCAATCATTTTACATCCACTCTGAATTGAGACCAAGGCCCAATACTACATACCGACTGTGTGCTGACCTTCCTGTGGTGATCCTAGGGTCGATCAACATCTGATCGCGGCATTGTATTCATGAACACAATTTTCGCCACGACCCTAAATTTCTTTTTAGTCTCTGCCTATCTATCCTGGCAATTTATGCGGGTGGGGTAGTCAGTGTTATATTGCTTTTATTTATACACGATTCAATATTGTGTTATCTGTCAGAGGTCCACTGGTGATCCCCGATTGATCCTAGGGAAGGGTTACAGACTCGTTGTCCTGGGGGGTTATGGGCGCATTGACCCGCTACTTAAAAAACCTTTTTATCCCAATGGTCTAATGGTTGGGATTCTGACATGGTATCCTAGCGAAGGTCTCGGGTTCGAATCCCAGTGTGTGCACTTCGGGCATCCCAGTGCAGGGGGGTGTCAGAGGTCCACTGGTGATCCCCGATTGATCCTAGGGAAGGGTTATAGGCTCGTTGTCCTGGGGGGTTATGGGCGCACTGACTTGCTACTTAAAAAACCCTTTTATCCCAATGGTCTAGTGGTTGGGATTATGACATTATCATGTGCAACACACTTTATTTATACACACTCCCACAAGCCGAAACGAGCATCTGACGAGGCAGCGATGGAGTATTCACGACTATCTGAGTAGATGTACGCGGACTGCACATTGTTGACTTGCGGGATTATCACGGGGATTAGGTCGTCCTCCATCCCCCTTGTGCGTCTTACGTGGAAGCGCCGAAATATTCACGACTGTGTCACGAGCTGATCGCGGATTGCACACTGTTGTCGTGCGGATTTTTGGCTTCACGGTTGTCGTGCGATGAAATACTCACGGATGTTTCACGAGGTGATCGTGGATTGCCAACTGCACTTCACGTTTACTCATAGGCAGTGGGATGTACACGGCACCTTTACAATACCTTCGCGAGGCATGGACACACGTCCAACTGATTTGTTACGGGTCATTGACTGGCAAATGCAGTGTTTGTTGACCGTTCATAGACCCTTTCTAAACGAGACCTAGTATGTCAATTATTGGTTCAAAATGGAATCCATATTATGGTGCAATCGTAAGCACACTCTAAAATTCATATCCACACATGATGCACAGTGCACTATCATAGCCCTAAGTAGCATGTTTAGACATCGGCGGTACCTCAAAACAGCCACATAATGCCCATGCCCGCTAGCCTATTCATCCTTAGATCCCACAAACTCATCGTTATCTCCTGTCACCCCTCGTGACAGGCCTTCACCCACCGTTCTGGCCATTTTGTCGAGCCGACCGCCAGGCTGACCCAAGCTCCTATCCAGTGCCGCTCGCTTCATCGCAGCATTGCGCTCTTTCTCGTCATACTTAGCCTTAGAAGCAGGCCAATACTCCGCCTACTGCTCCCACTCGTGCCAGAACTTCTGAGGGACCATCAGCTCACACTGCTGAGCCGTACAACCCTGTAAATTTGCCCCGTCGCCGTCCGTCAAAGGTATGAGATCGCCTCTCGTGGGATTGTCGACGACCATCACATGAGACGCTGCGGCTATTGACCTAGCCGCGGCGACCTCAAATTGAAAGGGACTGCTCATGACAATCAGAGAATTGGAAGTGCGGTCGAGGACAATCCTAGCCACCCACTCGTTCTTACCGTTCTTCTTTGTGACTCCCGTGAACCCCTTGCTGGCGGCCTCCTCCTCCTCACCAACCTGGGTCGATGGCATGAAGGATGAGGAGGCGGCTGGGGAGGGCAGAACCTGTTGCGAGGGCATGTTCAGTAGAGTCCCACGAGGTGCGGAGGAGGTGTGGCCAGGTAGGATGCTGCCAGTGTCGAGCGCCTCAGCAGCAAAGAGGAAAGCAGGTGGTTCCTGCACACCGGGGCCGTGCGACGACAAAGGCAGATGTAAGGACGCGGTTGGATGTCCTGATCCGTGGAAGAGCAAGTTGGGACGATGCAGAGCATGGCCACTAGGCTCTGCTGACGCAACATGTGCAGATGCTCTCGACTGAACACCACCTGCCTGTGGAGCAAACACCCCCGCTCCTGGTGCACGAAACCCCTGGAGATGCATCCGGGTGGACAACTCGAGGGCACAAACAGCTGTTCTCCTGATGTCCATGCCGCTGAACTTGTGTGAAGCACAGCTGTCCTCGGAGCGTCATCCGTTGCTTGCGACCCGGTTGCATCCTGGACCTGCACACATGGCGGAAAGTTGGTGAGATCCGACCCCGGTCCCAATATATCCCAGCAGTCGTCTCCAGACCGTACCACGCCTGTGTTGATAGCAGCGTGCTGACCCACTATCGCCTTTTGAGCACCCGAGGTTGCACATGGCTGCGCCGCCGCTGCTGTAAGTGCAACGCCTGCAGAACATGGCTGACCCGCTGCTGCTATAGGTACACCGGCTGCTGCCTTTGGCTGACCCACTGCTGCTGTTGGAATAACGGCTGCTGCAACTGGCTGACCCGCTGCTGCTGCGGAAACACCGGCTTCTGCACTTGGCTGACCCGCTGCTCCTGGTAACACCGGCTGCTGCACCTGGCAGACGCGCTCCAGCTGGAAGAGCACCGATAGAGGAGCCTGGCTGAACCGCTCCAGCTGGTGGAGCACCAGCATAGGCACCTGGCTGACCTGCTCCAGCAGGAGGAGCACGAACAGAGGCACCTGGCTGACCCGCTGCTGCTGTAGTAACACATGCTGCAGCACCCGCTTGATCAGCCGCGGAGGATGAAGCGCCGGCTGCACGACCTGTGTCACCCACCGTAGACCTCTGTGCACCGGATGTGGCTCCCTGGGCTTGCACGAACCCTGGAATCTGGCCGAAGAGTGGTCTACGAGCAAGTGACGGAGCAACAGCAGAGGTGTGAAGAGCACCTCTTGTTGTACCAGGAGCTACTACAGCAGCGGTGGAGTCGCCGGATTCAGGCCTGTTCAAACCCTCCAGGGCAGCCATCGGCAGCTTGAACCCTGCATGTGCAGCCAGCTGCTGAAAGGCGGTAAACAGTGATGACACAGACACCGTCAGTTTGACGATTCCCTCCCCACCCTTCAAAACCAAGTCTTTCAGATTATCCATGTCTTCCAAAAGGCTGTTGATCTGGGCAGCTTGGACAGCCTGCTTCGCCGATGGATCTTTAACCTTGGTCTCAAGATCGACCTCAACTACGTCGTCACTCTCACCCTCATCCTTCTGCTGCTGCTCACTCTGTGGTGGAATATCGGCCCCCTTCAGTTTCAGCGATTCCAGCCGGAACCGAGGCTGAAGGTGTAACCCTGTGACGACCACTGTGTAGCTGAGTCGTCAACCCAAGAAGCGTCTGCGTGTCCAGTGAGGACAACTGGACCCCGTCCTCCAAGCACGAGCCCCATGCCCGACGTACTGCACAAGTAACGCAGTACCCTCTTCGCAGCATCCCAGTGCACCTTTTGGTGCCTACCGGGAGCCACGTAGCGAGCCAGGAGGCTAAGAGGGTATGCGAGGTCAGGTCGAGTGCACGTCATCAGGTACATGAGGCAACCCACAAGCTCTGGGTACAGACCACTCGGCTCTACGGACTCGTCCGAAGGTGGAGCTGAGAGCGAGTGGCCGGTAGACAGAGGAGTGGGCTGTGGCGAGGAGAACTGGAAGCCGAAGCGCTAAAGGACCTGGTGCACCATGTGTGACTGAGTTAGTGTGATGGTGTGCCATGCTCTGTCCCGGGTGATCTGCAAGCCAAGATAGCTGCGCAGTTCACTTAGGTCAGTGCAGGTGTGTCTCTTCTGCAGCTCCGACTTCACAAGGGTCAGTGCCTCAGTGTCAGCAGTGGCAAAGACCAAGTCGTCGACGTACACGAAGACGTAGAACGGCGGCAGCGACGTGTCGGTGCGTAGAAACAGCAATGGGTCAGCAGTAGAAGGAGTAAACCCCAGAGCCGCAAGTGTAGTCCTCAGTGTGTCGTGCCACTCTCGAGGCGCCTGGCGGAGACCGTAGACTGGCCGCCGGAGGCTCCACTGCGTACCGGCAGGAAACGACCCAGTGAAGCCAGGTGGGCGGCGCAGCTAGATCTCCTCGTGCAGGCTGCACTACAAGAAAGCTGTGCTGAAGTCCAGAGAGTGCAACTCGTAGTCACGCTGAGCAGCGACGCGCAGCAAAACCCGAAGAGTAGTAATTTTCAGGGTGGGAGAGAAGGTATGAAATTAGTCGACCCCCTGTCGCTGACTGAAGCCTCTAGCAACGTAACGCGCCTTGAAGGCACGCGGAGAATCCGACGGCCCCATTCACCCTGAAAACCCACATGCCATCGACAATGTTCTCCCCAGGTGGGGGAGCCTCGTCAACATAGGTGCCTGTGGACTTCCAAGATGCAATCTCGGCATCCATGGCTCCCTGCCACTGAGAGGAGTAAGGACCCGTAATCGCCTCTGTCTAAGAGCGCAGGGTCGGGATGTCTGGTGCATCCGGGTCTCCCTCAGGGGTAAGCAGCATGGAAGCGAAACAAGGTACAGCAGCTGCAAGACACTCAAAGTCCTCCTGCCTGTCCTCAAGGACGTCCGTGCTAAGAGCACATGCACCCCCGACGGACGGAGGACTGGCAGACTCAGACTCAGCAATAAGAGGAGTGGCGTAGTCTAGACGACAGGCAGCAGCAAAGTCAACTAGCTCAGCAACGAGGGCAGACGCAGCAGTGGACTCAAAAGAAGGGTCAGTGACAACAGTGGCGAGGAGACGAGCGACAGTGGGACTTGTGCAGAATCCCAACCACTAGACCATTGGGATAAAAGGGCTTGTTAAGTAGCGGGTCAGAGTGCACCCATAACCCCCTAGGCGAACGCGCCTGTAACCCCCCTAGGATCAATCAGGCATCCACAGTGCAGATCTACTGACACCCCCCCACACTGGGAGGCTTAGGACTGGGAACAGCGACAACAGCCTACATGTGCATACACCGCGATTCAAACCCGAGACCACTCTGACACCATGTCAGAATCCCAGTCACTAGACCATTGGGATAGAAGGGCTTGTTAAGTAGCGGGTATGTGCGCCCACAACCCCCCAGGCGAACGCGCTTTTAATCCCCCTAGGATCAATCGGGCATCCACAGTGCAGATCTACTGACACCCCCCCACACTGGGAGGCCCAGGACTGAGCACAACGGCAACGGCCTACATGTGCATACACCAAGATTCGAACCCGAGACCACTCTGATACCATGTCAGAATCCCAACCACTAGACCATTGGGATAGAAGGGCTTGTTTGTGTAGCGGGTCGGTGCGCCTATAACCCCCCAGGACAACGAGCCTGCAACCCTTCCCTAGGATCAATCGAGGATCACCAGTGGACCTCTGACACCCCCCCGCACTGGGATGCCCGAAGTGCACACACTGGGATTCGAACCCGAGACCGCTCTGATACCATGTCAGAATCCCAACCACTAGACCATTGGGATAAAATGGCTTGTTAAGTAGCGGGTCAGAGTGCGCCCATAACCCCCCAGGCGAACGCGACTGTAACCTCCCTAGGATCAATCAGGCATCCACAGTGCAGATCTACTGACAACTGGCAGCAAGAGCAAGGTTAGACTCAGGGTCAGGAACAGCAGGAAGAGAGGACTCAGGAGGAGGCGACAGAGGAACACGTAGTGGAACAGAGGAAGGATAAAGTGCCATTGCGTGTGTGCCCGGGACAGGAGGAGGACGCGGACGAGGAACGCGATGAGCAGTGCGAACAGGGGAGGCAGGACGAGACACAGGCTCACGACGCTCTGTAAGACCGCCGGAGTGCTCAGTCTAAGGAGAAGGAGCAGGCAGCGGGGAGGGTGGCTGTAACGATGGCTGCGACTGGTCAAACGGCGGACACAGTAAGGGAGGAGGAAGGCCAGTAGAAGACGGGTCACCAAGAACCAGCTGAAGCAGGGGAACGAAGTACGGTCGCGGCCGCACAGTGCCTCAAGCACCTCCAGCTCCAGGGTCAACAGCACCAGCTCCTCCAGCTCCAGCGCCTCCCGCGCCAGTGCCTCCAGCTCCAGCGCCAACAGCTCCAGCTCGTCCAGCTCCAGCGCCACCAGCGCCAGTGCCTCCAGCTCCAGCGCCTCCAGCCCCAGCAGCTCCAGGCTCCGTAGGGTCTCCACCTCCAGCGCCCCCAACACCACCAATCCCGGCAGCTCTAGTACCCCTGGTACGAGCACCTCCAGGTCCAGCAGCGACAGTACCTCCAGTACCACCAGCTCTAGCAGGAACTCCAGCACCTCTAGATCCAGCGTCTCCAGTGCCTCCAGCTCCGGTAGCTCCACTCCGAAGGCGTGCGCGCCAAACAAGCCACTCCCGCAGCTGCCGCGGGGAGAGAGGCTCCGGCCGCGGAGATAGGCTCGGCGAGGCACCAGCAGGACCTCCAGACGAAACAGCACCCTGAGGCTCAGCACCCACAGACTCCGCACCCTCCGACTCAGCACCCCCAGGCTCAACACCCTCAGGCTCAGCACCCACAGGCACAACACCCTCAGGATCAGCACCCCCAAGCTCAACACCACCAGGCTCCGCATCCCCAGACCCAGCACCCTAAGACTCAGCGTCCCCAGGCTCCGCACCCCTAGACGCAGCACCTCGAGCAGCACCTAAGTCGCCAGCTACTAGTCTTGTTGCTGAGTCTGAGTCTGACTCTCCTCCGTCCGTCGGGGGTGAGTGTGCTCTTGGCACGGACGTCCTTGAGGACAGGCAGGAGGACTTTGAGTGTTTTGCAGCTGCTGTACCTCATCTCGTGTCCATGCTGATTGCACCTGAGGGAGACCCGGATGCACCAGACACCCCGACCCCGCGCTCTTACGCAGAGGCGATTACGGGTCCCTACTCCTCTCAGTGGTAGACAGCCATGGACGCAGAGATGACATCGTGGAAGTCCACATGCACTTACATCGATGCAATTCTCCGTCCTGGGGCAAACATAGTCGACAGCATGTGGATTTTTAGGGTGAAGCGGCAGCCGGGTTCTCCGCCTGCCTTCAATGCTTGTTATGTTGCACGAGGCTTCAGACAGCGACAGGGAGTTGACTTCTTCCAGACCTTCTCCCCTACCCCAAAGATGACTACTCTTCGGGTACTGCTACACGTCGCCGCTCAGCGTGACTACGAGCTTCACTCTCTTGACTTCAGCACAGCTTTCTTACAGGGCAGCCTGCACGAGGAGATCTGGTTGCGCCGCCCACCTGGCTTCATTGGGTCGTTTCCTGCAGGTACCCAGTGGAGCCTCCGGCAACCAGTCTACGGTCTCAGCCAGGTGCCTCGCGAGTGGAACGACACACTGAGGACGACGCTTGCGGCTCTTGGGTTTGCTCCTTCTACTGCTGACCCGTTGCTGTCTCTACGCACCGACTTTTCGCTACCGCCGTTCTACGTCCTCGTGTACGTCGACGACTTGGTCTTTGCCACTGCTGACACTGAGGCACTGGCCCTTGTGAATTCGGAGCTGCAAAAGAGACACACCTGCACTGACCTGGGTGAGCTGCGCAGCTATCTTGGCTTGCAGATCATCCGGGACAGAGCACGGCGCACCATCACCCTGACTGAGTCACACATGGTGCACCAGGTCCTTCAACGCTTCGGCTTCCGGTTCTCCTCGCCACAGTCCACTCCTCTGCCTACCGGTCACTCGCCCTCAGCTCCACCTTCGGACGAGTCCGTAGAGCCGAGTGGCCTGTATCTAGAGCGTGTGGGCTGCCTCATATACCTGATGACTTGCACTCGACCTGACCTTTCCTACCCTCTTAGCATCCTG